AGCCGCGACTTCAATTACTTCGAGATGCTTGGCTGCCATGGTATGGCCTGGTAATTCCTGGATGGATGTGTTGACTCCTCACGAGTCATGCCTTGAGCACAGCGGTAATCCTCATAATATCAAAGGCAGCAGTCACCCTCGGCACAGAACAGCCTGGGAATGTGCGCTACAATGCTGCTGGCGAGCAAGATTATAGACTCTCGTGTATCCTGCTTTCTGTCTTAATGGCTTTAGCAGCTGTGTTCGAACCACGTCACATATGCAGTCTTCAAGGTAATCCAACACAGTTACTGAACTGTTGAACAATGTGTCGCTCTATTTAGTCGAATAGATAAGCCTACAGGTTCACACTGGATTACTGGTGTTGACTATTTCTGACATGCATACTCAGTGATTCCGTTGTGGCCTTCAGACATGTTTTGGCAGCTCACACCCCCTCAGGGAGATATGTTGAACTTATGCATACATGGTGTTATGTTCTGTGCATGTATACCATGTTGTTACTACACTAGGAACGATGATGCCCAGCTCGCTGTCGGCGCATGCAATGTCTTGCCATATCTGGAATGTGAGCTTACAAGTCAAGCTGTGGCTGGGGCCTGGCCAGGGAGTTGGCGCCCAGCTAGCCGGATCTCGGCTTAGCTTGCTCCGGCTTGGTGATCCAGCGCGATCCAGCTCGTCAGCTTAGCTTAGCTTAGCTGGCTTGGCGGCAACACTAACTGGGAACTCCCTGCGCGCATGGACGCTTACAATCGTCGTGGCGCTGAACCACTACTCCTTACTCGACGTTTGCCACACCGCGCTCTCGGTCTCCCCTTCTGCCTTGACACGCTTCAGACCCTACGTCACAGACAGCGAGGTGAGGAATGCAGAGGACATGTCGACGAAAGTCCAGCCCCCGAAGTCAATCCCACTGGCAATACTCTCGATTCTCTGGACGAGGGCGAGCTGTGTCCTGCGACGCGTCGACAGGCCTCCTCCGGGTCGAGCGCAGCCGTTGCGACAAGCCAACCTCATCGTAATTTCATGGGCTAGGGAAATTGGTGTGCGCGCAGTAGTTGCATGTCATGCATTCCTGGTTCCGAATGCCCGAGGAAGAAGGAGTTATGAATGAGCCTCCGTCGCGTCTGACACTGCTTCCTTTGACCAGGAAGAAGTACTGCAGGGATTTAGCCGGCGAAGTTTTGCGGGTTGACTGGCGCTAGGTACGTGTTGTCTTCTCATATCCTTGCAGCGGCGTGCTGAAGGGGTACATCCACCCAGCGCACATCGTTCGTGGACGACATCGAGACAGAGCGGTATCGATCCTCACGGGAATGTGCGTGGGTCAAAAGCACTGCCCTCGTGTTGGTTGGCTGCGAAGGTGCGTATGGAAATGCATGCTTGGGCTGTTCGTTCTCAGTAGCATGGGGTCCAGAAGGGCTCTCACTACGCCTCGGGGAACTATGCAGTCCCTCGAATACCCCGTGCGTCTCATTTCTATGTACGAACTCGTAAATTGTCTGATATATATCTCCTTGGGGACAGCTTCCGCGAAGGCGTCGACTGTCACGGTTACCACTATTAAACTCCTGACTGACACCGCCCCCGACGCGTCTGTGCAAGCCTACCCTCTTTTATCACACGACCTCCATGATTCTGTGATCGAAGAAGAGGATTGCGTGCCTTTTGCCAGCCCTTCGCATCCTCTGTCTCACAATTGCTATCCACCGCCCAAACTTCCGAACTTCCTCTATTCCGTCTCGGCCACGCGCTCTTTGGTACCAGCGATCACCGCATCTTCAACTACTTCTGTTATAGTTTGGGATGTGTGAGTACTTGGTGTGGGATACAGGTCCTCCCGTACGCATTGATGCACTGCAAGTGGGGCTTCATTAGCTCATCAGGTGAGCCCATAGTTGCGAGTCGGTCTGGGATACCGTTGTGTGTGCCTGTGTCCATTGTAATCTTACAACAATGCCTTCGCGGGCGCTATGACGCTCCGTAGTCGCGTCTGAGTACTTTGATATCGCCGCATGTCTTTTGGGACTTCTCGCTGCTGCTGCGCCCGTTCATCCCGGCCACCGCTTCCTCCAGGACCGAGACCTCACCCTATCGTCGGCAATCTACTCAATATGCCCAAGGAGCTTTTGTTGGCGGTGTCGCTACACGAACTCTGTAAGCAATACGGTGAGCAATCTCCACCGCACTTCGTGTATGGCACACGAGTGAGCAGGACTCAACCTTCTTCCACAGTCGATGTTGTCTATGTGGACGCCTTCAAGCAACCGACCATCATCATCGACTCATGCGATCATTCATGCCGCGGTAGCGATTCTAGAAATCCGCTCCGTCACCACTTCCGATACACCACGCTTCGAAATGCGAATACAACCCCGCAGTAACAATCAGTCGCGTCTCGCTGTTCAATACATTAGCATCGGCCTGACGTTCCGATTCGCACTCAAGGGTTACTTGAACTCCCGGAAACATCATTTGCCACGCCCGAGAAGGTTTAGGATGCGAATCGAAAAGTGCATTGCGCTGTCCTTCGTGCCTCTCCGGCGTTTTCAAGGTAAGTCTTGTAGCTTGAAGCGCGAAATATTTGTGGTCTCGAGGGCTGTCCCCCAATGACTTATAGGAATATGTCACGTACTAGACAGTCATGCCTCGTTCCAACTTAGGAGTCCTAGAGGTGAGAAGCAGCCCAAGGCGATGCCTCGCCCATGCACACGACGCCAACGAACATGCACTGTAGGACGTCTCGTCATCTGCCGGTGGTTGATTCAAGTCTAATGCTGTAGCTGCTACATCAAATAGCCCTCTTGAGAGCAAAAGCAACCAGGGGGTATAAAATGAAACCCGTGCGATGTCTTGGTGGGTAGTACGCAAAGGCTCTCACGACTCAAGATTACTTTTGAAATGAATCTATCATGAACGACGAAGATCCTCGTGAGATTTTGTTCACCACTCCTGCTGCACTGGGCTTAGAATCGCCACCAGTTCGGCGATATCAAGTTGACCAGAGGTGCGCTCCGTTCAGCTTACTTCATCTCCCAAGTTGCGTCTTAACAGTCGTGCTCATGTTATTGCAATAGCACATACTTTCTGAGCCTGCCAACAGCTGATATCATGGAACGTGAGTAGATCGGTCAGTAAGGGTGACTTTAGTTTCGAGTGGACGTCTTACTGCACCAGCCACAATAGCTACAGTACGCCCGGCTGATAATTTTGTCTGTACATTTTAGGACGTCAGCGCCTGCTGCAGGCCGGTCCCTGCGAATCAGTACTGCACGGCGACTGCTATGTCTTGTGGGAAACCATAGGCATCCGAACCAGGGTGGCTGTGAGGGTACTTTCATGTCCTTCTCAGCTGATTGCATCATACCCAAGCATCAACTCGGTGTATCCGTATATCTAGTATGCAGCGGCCCGCAGGAGGACTAGTTCTCCTTGTACCCGTCCCATCCCGAGCCTTTCCTCCCGTCCATTCGATAAGATCTTGCACCATGGACGTCGTTGCTACGTTCAAGGAATCAACTATCCCCGGGATTCTTGGTCCCAGTAAGCTGCAAAAGACACCTCACGGAGAGTAAGTCGAATATGGATGAACCGCTTTTCTACAATCCATAGCCAGGCAAGCTTTCGCGAAAATCGTCGAAAATCGGCGCCCAGAGATCGAGAATCATCCGCGTCAAACATTCCAGTTCGGCAGCACGGACAGACACCAGGTAAGCCCCTCCATCATGCGATGGCTCCTTTCCCGCTGATCCCTCACAGTCGCCTTCTAGCTTGATGTATTCTATCCCGATGCTGCGGCAGTGTCATCCGGAGGCCCTGCTCCTGTCTTATTCTTCTACTACGGCGGCGGTTTAACCGGTGGGGACCGCAAGCAAGCCCCTCCCTTCGACCTTGTCTACACCAACGTGGGCGTGTTCTTCGCCAAACGCGGGTATGCACCCCTATTGTTTCTTTCGACTCCGCTTCCATCCGCCCATGGCTCATACTCCCCGTAACATGCAGCATCCTGACTGTGATCCCTGACTACCGCTTGCACCCTCCGTCAACTATCCTGCTCTCGTGGAGGACGTCCGCGACGCACTCGCATGGTTCCTCGCTAACCCCTCGTCCACGGTACACTCTCGTCTACGGCCGACATCGCCAACCTCTTCGTGATGAGCCACTCCCCGGGTTCGATCCACCTCGCCTCGCTCTACCTCTCTCCGTCTCTGCTCCCGATCAACTCGCCCGTCCGAGCCGCGACGCGCGCACTCCTCCCAACGGGGAGCGCGTACGTGTTCAGCTTCCCAAACGCGGTCACGCCGCCCGGCCTGCTCGAGGCGTACTATGGCTCACAGGAGGCAGCGCTGGAGAGCATGCCGATTACGCTCCTCAAGCGGGTATCGGAGGAGCTTATCAAAAGCCTGCCGGAACTCTTCGTGCTCAAGAGCGAAAACGAGCCAGAGGCGATTTCGAAAGGGAACGACGAATTCGTGAAGGCGCTGGAAGGGCGGCTGGGGAAGAAGGTCCAGTATGAGATTATGAAGAGACATCACCATATCAGCCCGCACTGGGCGCTGCTGAGCGGGGATGGCGATGATTGGGGGGAAGACGTTGCTGCGTGGGTGAAGGCGAAGGTCTAACGGATCGTATGTACGTAAGCACAAGTTGGAGAGTGTGAAATGACGCGCCGCGACGATCAATGATTGGCCTACGTGCCCCGTCTCTCTTCGGGTAAACCGCCATGCCAAGATGGGCAAGCTTCTCGGTCCTTGAGCCCCAGTGAGAATCAACATTGGCTCAGCTGTATTAGATCGATTTCTACCGTATGATGTCGGGAAACCCGACCATATACTCAATTTGGCAAAATTCCCGACTTTGATCGGATACTATCGTATGGCGTCGGATGCCCGCATGATTCTATCCAACTGCCATTGGGCTGGGTCGTACACAGTTGGAACTAGTCGGTCGCGGTCGGGTGCATTCGAGTTTATTCGTTTTGGGCTGATTCTATATAGAGCACACCATTGGATGGTATGGGTCAAATAAATGTATGAATTCGTATACAATCGCGTTACTACTATTATATGGTGCAGCTACAATTGGGGCGCACGAGTCTAGTTGGGTGCTGCCCTGGCTCGGCGCACCGTGCGTAGGTAGATGTGTCGTGTGTGCGCTATTTGGCCAGTGCACAAGCATCACAAACGGGGGCCAAAGCTCGTGAGCTGTCGGACACGCATAGCCAGACTGAGGAAGGATGAAGAGACGAAGTAGAAAAGGAGCGGCAATATTACCTCGAGCGGCTGCGTGCGCCAGGTGGGACTTGGAAGGATGCACTGAGAAGGGGGTCAATATGATGTTGCATGGTGTATTCCCCACAATCACGGGCGACCTTCTGTTCAGTAAGTTGTTTTGAGTATGAAAATTGAGATTCGAGACAATGACATACGTTCTAGTCTACACGCGCACATGCGCCTGCAGTATTCTGTGTGCTGCCTCTGTACCGGTGATGTTTACATACAATTGATGTTGGTGCATACGGTGGGGAACTATAGCGACATACCTTCAAAGGTGTTGCTCATACACTGGGATGGTGTTGCGATGGCGATCACAATCTCGACTGTATGACGCACCTTCACAGCTGTCTAATGCACGTTCATAGCCATTCCAAATTCTGATGTACCTTCTGGGTGTTGTGGGGCGATGTTTGCACTGCGCCTTCTCACTAGGGAGGGATGTGTGCCAGACTGTCCATAGGGCAAGCAGAGGGAGAGGAGAAGTTGGAGACAAGGGGGGAGAGGAGAGGTTGGAGACAAGTAGAAGACAGTTGTGGTCCAAGCGAGCAACCAGTCCACCACAATGACGTCACCTGTTGAGGGCAGGGCCCTGCTCTTACAAAACAAAGACTTTGCGTCTTTGGCCCAAAGTGTTGACGCCAGCGGTTTTGAATCGGCACCTCGCCCGTTCTCCACGTAAACCATTTGCGAAAGGAGTCTGATTGCAATTGAACTATTTTTGAGGCGGTATCGTAACATGATTCCTTAGCGAGCAAAACCACCATGTCGAGGGCAATAATCCCTCGCTAAGTTACCTGATGGGACCCAGCACCCAGAGCAAGTAGTTATCGTGTACGGTGGGAGAGAACGCAACATGTGATCAGCTAGATACAGACACAAGCCAATGCATTATAGAGCCATGGCCAGAGACACTAGTAGACGTCATGTCCTTAAGAGACATGCACGTTCGATCTCGCGACCATAGAGCTGATTTTAGACATCAAGTGAGCGCTAAAAACTGCTCATCCCATCTGAACCAAGACTTCCCGACCTCAATCGCTCTTACACGACTTTCGCCGATGGAAACCAACTGAACCCATGTAGGTTCTCACTGGGCTTGAGCACTGATTCCAAGGATCGACTTCTACTTACTGGAGCGTGATTGTGGTGTTGCCAAACAGCCCGAATCTTCCAGTGCTGCAGGTGTCCATCAGGATTGAATGGCAAAGCGTGCTGACATCTGGCTGTAGGACAGAAGACGGAACCTCCGAGTCGCAAGCAGCATGTATTATATACCCCTTGCCTATGGGCATTGGCATGCTCTACTGATAAGGTGACCACTCCCCTGCGAGCCACGTCGCGTGTCGGGGATAGCTGACAAGCGAGTACGATACTCGTAGTGTATTACCTTTCAGAGATACGGCGTGAGGAATTTCCTCCGGTCGCTGAAGCCTCGCATCAGAGCCGCAGCGCATCCCGCAACAGGCCCTCTAAATCCGCCGGTCAACTGTATGTACTACAATTGAGAGAACCACGGGTCTCTCGCCTTGGACTGATACCGCCGCGATAGAGCCGAATGCTCTGTGATCATCGCACACAATTTCAGTACATTCCTGTAGGGCGACCATGTCACGTGTATCCAACTGTCGTTCGAAGTATCATCTGCCCTCCGGCCTACCGTAGCAACGTCTCTGAAAGTGTCCTTGCGTTGATCTCCTTTGATTTCGAGACTTCATTTGATCTCGAGGTTCGTCACAGGAAACCGCAACTCTCTTACCGCAGCACGACCTTACGAAATCTGAGCCCACCTAGGACTACATAAGGATTCAAAACCTCACACTCGTGGCCCTCGTGGCTACTCAACAAAGCCGCTACGACGCACCTGCATATATGAAGCCAGCAAAAGTCAAGATGCCCCGAGCAGGGGCTGCCGGACGTTGCAAGGACGAAACAAGTTCCGTCGCTCCTTCCGAGGCAGACAAGCTAGAAGATGTCAGGAGGCACTCAGTCTTCTATTTCGACCACATCGTCTTTCAAGTACGTGCCCCACAGCGACTAAGCCGATTGGCGCGATTGCAATCCCATGAGGATGAACGCTTTCTGTCTATAGGTCGGCACGCGGCTCTTCAAGTTGCCACGTCGCAAATTCGAAGGAGACTCTGAGGTCTTCAGGGACATGTTCACCATACCCCCTGGTGACAACATCGCTGAGGGTCAGTCGGACGAGCATCCTCTCATGCTCGAGTCGATCCAAGCCGAAGAGTTTGAATCGCTCCTGCAAGTAATGTTTAGACCGTGAGTGAGACATGCCACCAATCTCGTGCCGATGAGCTCAGCCTGCATTCACCAGTCACCACGCACCTACTGCAGAGGAAGCGAAGGAGCTCTCACGCGACGAGTGGGTGCACGTCCTCAAGCTCACCACAATGTGGGGCTTCGAAAAGCTACGGCGCATCGCTATCGATAGCCTGACACCGCTGCTGCAGAAAGAGAATCCTGTAGGATGGATCACGCTTGCGCGCACGTACGAAGTATACGAGTGGCTGTTGCCTGCTCTTCATGCGCTCGCACGCCGCACGAAAGTCCTGCAGCCGGAGGAGGTCGAGCCTTTGGGTATCATCACAGTCGTGAAGATGGCGGAAGTTCGGGAAAGCTTCCCCCTCGCCGACAGAAACGGGAACTATTATCGTGGGTACGCCACACGCGAGACGCATGACTTCATATCCGTGATTCGTAGGGTTTTCAAAGAGGAGCTGAGAGCAGCGAAACCATTCGAATCCATCGATATCGGTAAGGTAGATTATTCTTGGGACTAGCATCCGTCGATGTGCATTAGCTTGTTTGCATATGGAATGTACAGTAACGATACCTCTCGTGAAACTTCCTGTCTTGAATGGGCACTCCCTTTCTCCACCGCAATGGTCCTGCTTCTTTGTCAGGTCCTAGATCTCAAGTCAAAGTGAACCCATCGCGCGGCGCTCGCTCTCTCCCACTTTCCCTCTCGATGCTCTCATGTTTCCTCATTTCTTCCGCACGCCTCTCCTCCCTAAACCTCGCCCTCCCAACTCTCTCCCTCTCCGCCAACCTTGCCCGCTCCTCCCTTGTCGGCTCCCACTTGCCCTTCAGTATCCTCCGCACCGCCTCCTTGCTGATACGAAACTTGTCCGCCAGGATGGGCGTCGAGAACGTCTCGGGGTCCATCTGGTGCAGGTGCCGCAGCGAGACCATCGCCTCGCGCGAGATCTTGCGCGGGGGCGCCCAGCCCTCCGGAAACTTCTTCTTCATCGTCTCGCGGTAGGCCCGGAACTCATGTGGCGTGGGCTGGAACTCCGGTTTGAGGGGATGCGGACGGTGTGAGATGGGGCGGGAGGGTTCGTCTGCGTCTGCGTCGTCGGCTTCTGGTGGAGTGTGCCCCTCTGTCAGGGGTTTTGGCCAGTCTTCTTCTCTCTCGTCCTCATTCTCCACTAGTGATTTGGGTGCGGGATGACCGCCGGTTCTCCATTGTTTGCGCGTTAGGTTGGCGACAGTGGTGTATAGGTTGATAAGGGTGTACCGTGCTGGCGACTTTGCAGGAACGCCAGAACGAAGAGCAGCAGCCAGCATGATGGCAGACTGAAGGCAAGTGCGTGGACGGTGGCTTAGCCCAAGAGGATGGGAGATGGGCGATGGGAAGAAATCAATGCATTTGCGCAGTGCTGGCTCATAGGGTGTTTCGGCGAAAGCCGAGACGCCCTCGAGCGTCGTGCCGCTCATGCGTCACACAGGCGACGACCTGCAGGACACGACATCCACCTCAGCCACCATCCATAACACGGTCTACTGCCTCCGCTATGCCTCCGCTGCCCTCCGCACTCGACGAGGAGACGAAGAACCTCATTGCCTCGCTGGAACGACGGCACAAGGACCTTGCAGACTTCCAGATACCCCGCCTACGAAACTGCACAGGGCCGCTCACGCTGCAGCAACAGTACGCTGCGGAGCTCCGGGACGACTTGGACATGTTCGCGCGACAACTAGAGGTTAGTTTCGTAGTTCATGCGGGCGGAAAGAGCCCAAGACCGATCTGAGTAGACTCTGGATGTCGCAGTGGAGGACCAGAGGACGGAACGCGCGAGGAGAGAGCTGAGGCAAGTCGTAGATGAGCTCCAGGCTGTATTGACCAGGTATGATCATGTCGTTCGTGTGAATGCGTCTATCGGCTCACAGCTAGTGAAGACTACGAAAGGATATGCGCGCCGCTGTGTTGGCGTCGAAGCGCGCCATTGATGCGCAACAGAGCTCTCGCCGAGAAGAGCTATTACGCTCCTCCGTGGTGAAGGAGAAGCAGACCTTGAACGAGAAAGTAACGTGCGTGTGCTCCATTCCCCTGTCCTAGGTGATACCCACAATCCCCCCAGCGAGGACGCAGTGATGAAAGCGACTAACGATGTCACCGAAGCCCTTCAACGAACCCTCGGCCTCATGCAAGGCGAGCTAGAACGCTCAGTCCTCTCTACCCAGCTCCTTGGTACGTTCCCATCATCGCGTTCCACCCCTTGCTCGCGTCCTTCCCACTCACGCATGCTCCCTGCAGAATCCTCTACCGCAAACCTGAAGTCCACTTCCACCACGCATGACGTTCTCGACTCCCTCATGACCACCTCGAAGCACCTCATCACCGCGCTCGAGAAGTCGGACTGGATGGACCGCATGCTCATCTTCGCCGGCCTCGCCTTTTTCGTTATCGTCGTGCTCTTCATCATCAAGCAGCGTCTCGTTGACCGCGGCCTCCGCGTCGCGCTGTTCTGGACGCGCTTTGTCCCCGACTTCAGCGGGGATGAGGCGCTCCTCGCAGCAGAAAAGGGCGAGGTGCCAGCATCGCTGTCTTTGGCTGCTAGTAGCGTTGTGTCAGCGACGGTCTTAACGGTAGTGGCTACAGCGTCGACTGTGCTGCTTGCGAGTTCCGCATCGTCCTTGGAGGGCGAAGTCCTGGGAAGCATCACGTCAGGTGTCCCTACCGAGACAGTTACTTCCGTTCACTTAGATCCCTCACTACCAGAAGGCGCGTATACCACGACTTCGTCAAGCGGCGCAGAGCGCACAGGGTCAGGGACAGTGCCACACGACGAGCTGTAAGGGCATGTTAGGGTGCATAATGTACGTACCTGCTGTAGCCATCGCATACACTTCATCATACCCTTCATTGCGCGCCACACGACACGCGAAAGCACGGTGGGATCCGAGGAGAAATGATCATACAGAAGATTACTGACTGCAAGGACAAGATGATGCAACGCGATAGCACAGGTATATGAAGGCGCTTGGCTAAACGCCGTCGTAGCTCGCACCTCCTGCCTAATTACCACCATTAGGTCCGGATGTTGTGAGGAAATGACAAGACAAAGGAACGGACCTTCCGTAGCTTAATGATGATTGGCTCCTCCTTGAGATCGTCCTTCTCCCGAGCGGGTACTTCTATCGAGAACACGCGCAGCACGGACTTCACGTCCGCCGAGTGTACCGAGATCTGCGTTGTCCACATTCGCGTAAGCTTCATACCACACAACACGAAGAAGCATGCCGCCGTGAGGCAAGACGCACGCAACGCGCTCGGACGGACGGGCAGGACACACCTTCGCTTTGCGCATGACCTTGCAATTGGGGCCGATCCAGACGACGAGGATGAACTTCTCGCGGACGGACTCCTTGTCGTTCGAGTACTGCACGCGCACGTACGCGTACGACGCCTTGGAGTCGTCCAGCTGCTCGCGCAGCTCGGCGAGGCCTCCCGATCCGGTCGACGTGAGCTTCAGCTTGTCCGAGCGGTCAGACTGGAAATGTGAACCGCATGCGCATATCAGAGTTCGAGGGTGAATACATTGGGTTTCATCGATGAACAGACGCGGAAGGAGATGCAGATCGTCGTGAAACAATACGGGCAGGGATGGGCGGGGCGAGGGAAAGAGTTCATAGTGAGCATACATGGGATGGACATGTCAAGAGCATACCTCATAGTCAAGCAGAAGCCAGTTCGTTTCAGTCTTGTCCGAACGGACATCCTGGTACGCTGTCCCCCAAGCGATCGGTCATTTCATCCAACGCTACGGCCATTCGTCCATGGCTAGGCGGATGCACACTCACCTTCGTCGATTTTCGGATCGGAGACGTCGGCCATGTCGTGTGCTCGAACAGAAACGAGAGAAGGAGAAGGAGGAGAGGAAGACGGAAGCTGGAGGTGAACGAAAAGTCGTAGGGTCGGTCGTTGGTGTGTAGGAGCAGGACACTGCAGGGCGGTGTGTTGTAGTTATCGACCCGCCCATCCCGACGCCCTCGGCTTTCCCCGAGCGCTGCGGGCCCTCCGCCCGTGCTGTAGCGCATTTGGACCTCCTCCTTAAGCCACCACCATGACCACTCCGACGCCTTTGAACCTTTGAAGCATTCAAGGATTACAGCACGACAAGCAACTCGCCTCAAGCTGAATTCCTTCCTGTGATGAATACTTCCGTGGCGCGGATCCTTAAAATGCCGCTCAGCTTGAGCAGGGCTGAGCTGTTACGATTTGCGCACTGAGGGCGCCCATCGTGCGAAGGCTGGTGGTCTGACTGGGGCTCTCACCTCTGTACCCGTACTCTTGTTGGGGTTACTCCAATGTGGTCTAGTTTGACCGCGAAGGATCTCAACGTACAGAAATTTCATCGGCTCACTTCTCATTGCTCAGCCTGATCCAGGCAACCACTTTGGAAATGGCCCTCGAATGAGTCAACGCAGGGCAAGAAATGAGGCTACAATTCAAGCCTTTGGTAAATGAATGTCGCCGCTTGGGTCAAGCATTCAACAGCAAGGGCGGATGGACTAGCCACCGAATCTTCTACCTGGTGAGTGTTCGCAACGTGATAATACTGACTCGACGCAGAGCTACTGTTGCTGCTCGACTCATGACTGCGACAGCAGTGCTTCTGTACTCAGCTGGAGTCCTCTAGATCGTATGCTGATATGCCCGCCATGTCTTCGCCTGCGCGCCTACTTGCTCCGTCGCCTCAAGGATATCCGACTAAGCTGCATCTTTTGGGGTCCCAAAGGCAAGACTAGTGCGCCCCAGACCCAGCGAAGAGTGAGCCTTAGAGATGACTATTAGAGCCCAGTGAGAACAGAACGCGAGGGCTGACGCCATATCCCACCAATGAGTCATAGCCTCACGGTTTTCCGGCGAACCCCGGCTTGGTTTCCTAGTGTGCAATTGCTCGTCATATCTGAACGTCTCTTGTTTTCCAACCTCCATCATTTCAGATACGACCACTTGTCTCATACTCGCCATATAGTCGCCTCTCCCGTGTGATATCTCTCACCTGCAGCCATGGATTTTCTGCCGAGTACGTCGCCATTTTTTACTATCATCCCTCATGGGCCTGATCTTCTCACGACCACGTTGTGTCCAGCGCTCGAAGCATCATGGAACCAAAAGACCCAACAGCACATCTGTATCATAGGCAGTGGCCCATCCGGCTTAGCTGCCCTCAAAATTATACGTGACTCCCAGCAGTTCAAAGGCGGACTTTGGACAGCGACCGCATTCGAAGCTCGAGATAAGGTCGGAGGCATTTGGTAAGGCTCCCTCCCTCTGACACGCAATTATTCACGCATCGGAGGACAATGCGCTGAAATGATGCTACAATTTCACCAGGCTTCCTGCGCCACCCATAAGCAATCCTCCATCAACACCTCTCTACGACTCGCTTACGACCAACCTACCTCATCCGGTCATGGCGTATACCTCATTCCCGTTCCCTGCGGGAACCTCCCTGTTTCCCCCTGCCTCCACAGTCTTGAAATACTTTGAGGATTACGCAGCTCACTTCGAACTGAACGAGCACATCAGACTGAACACGCCCGTGCTGTCTATCACCCGGGACCACACGGCCGGGAAATGGACTGTTTGCGTCCGGGCTCTGGAAACATCCGCGGAAGAGACACACGATTTCGACTATGTGATCGTCGCGAACGGACATTACCGCCTCCCTCGTTTACCCGCTACTCCGGGGCTAGGGGAATGGGTCGAGGCTAAGAGGGCTGTGCATTCGGTCTACTACCGGAACCCTTCGACCTTCGGTGACGCCAAGACGGTACTTGTAGTCGGCGGCGGTCCGAGCGGGCAAGACCTCGTCACAGATCTGCTGGCTTCAGGTAGGAACGTCGTTCATTCCGTCACGGGTGCGGCGCCAGAAAACTTGCACGACGGTCGCCTCAAGGTGCGCGGTCGAATAGCACAGTACGGCGACCTGGACAAAGGCCTTGTTACATTTGAGGATGGATCCGAGGAGTCCGGCATAGACAAGGCCGTTCTCGCGACGGGATACAAGTTCGACTTCCCGTTCTTCCCGACGTCCGTGTTGCGCCCTTCCATCCCACCGCCAGTGCCACCCCTTCCTGGCGCTCTGTACAATTCGACCTATCATATCTTCCCTTTGGCACGGCACGTTTTCCCCCTCGTCGGCGCCGACGAGTTCCCGTCCTCCACCGTCGCCTTTCTTGGCATACCGATCCGGGTAGCCCCGCTCCCGCTCCTAGAAGCGCAAATGCGGGCCGTCCTGCACGTTTTCGAACACCCAGAGAGCCTTGACCCCACGCAAGAAGCCATCGACATCATCTCCCGATACGAGACCCTCCGAGCCCGAGTCGCCCAGCAGCGCGCATCGTCATCTCCCACCCAATTTCCGGATGGGGTAGACGGCCCCATTTCCGGACCGTCCGAGGACCCCGTCGAGCTCGCCATCGCCGCAGCGTGGCACCGCTTCGAGGGGCACGAGCAGTTCCAATACCGGGACGCGATGCACGCCTTCGCCGAGTACCCGCACCGCGTGCCGGCGTGGGAGATCGAGATGTACGACGCGAAGGGGATCCTGCGCGAGGAGTGGCGCGACCTCGAGCGCCTGGGGCAGGCGGAGGAGTGGGTAAAGGATGTCGGGGCAGGCGAAGGGGAAAAGGTGGCCGAGGAGTGGGTGGATTTGATGCGGAAACTATTGAGAAGGGCCGAGGAGAGGCATCCGGAGCGAAGCCGGTTGTGATTGAAGGTTCAAGTTGTGGGCTGGGATTCCTACTGCATAGAGCCTGACCAAATGGATAGGGGTGTGCACGGAAATGGGGGGATGGGTTCGAGAACGGCCCGACGCTTCCGCCGAGTCATTTGGACATGAGGTTCCGGTCGGTATGCACCTGTATCGCGGTAGACGGTGCACTTTCTGAAAGGGGCCTGGCCGCCAGTAGATTCATGACAAGTAAAGCAGGACAGACAAATAAGCGGTATGAATGTATAGAGAAGCTTCATGTTATGGTATAAGATGAAATAGTATGAGGTACCGCTACTAAGGATACAACATGTTGAAGCCGGAGATGTCATCATATGATAGTGGTGGAAATTATGAATGAACCGTGAAGCATATGACACAACACGTAGTGATCGATTGACATGTACCATGGCGTGCGAAGTCGTGAAAAGTGGAAGACATGCGGATATTGTCATGCAAGGATAGGGGAAGGCAATGATGGTCCGAGGAAGAGGTGCCTGAAAGCCGCCTGTCAATAGGCGCACGTGACCTGTGCGGACCGACATGTCCGAGCCTATTTTGTTATGGTGTTCTGATTCTTTGGGGACCTGACACGAGCAAAGGTTCAAGTATTTGCAGGGGGCGCAGATGAAGCAATTGGCTTGAGGCCCAGGTGTGCATACGTTCCCCTTGATACACCATCTAGCAACGACGCCGAGGCCTGGTTTTGCTTGCCCATCCATTGGGAAAACTGCGCAAAGGACCGTGGTGCGCTCGAGGAGCCGTTCTCCGTCTCAACTCGAGACTGTGACAGGGCTTTATGCAGGTTGACAGCAAGTTGGCCATGTAGGCGGCTATCGATGGTACCATGTGCCGTAAGTATGGGCTCCTCCGCCTCCACTTCTGCGCAGCGAATCATGTCATCAATAGACTCGTGCAAAATGAGGTGGCACATACCCATGTCTTCGTCCGACTCCGATTTCAGCTCGTCCTCTTCTTCTTCCTTCACAGAGGCTTTAGTCATAGATTGAGCGATGATGCCCCCATTCTCGACCACAGGGGATGCTGGGTTAGACGGGGGTTCCGGCGATATGTCTGGTGTCGGCAAATGCGCCGGAGGATTACGCCGGACCGAGAAGGGTGGAAGTTGAGGGAGCGGAGGCATAGCTGGCGGCGGTGGCGACGTCGACTGGCGCGAACAGTATGAGCATTGGCAGCACATGCCAAGCGACAAGAGACACTTACATGTTCGCCCCCCCGTCTACTCTGCAACTCGCGATGTCGCGCATACCTCAAGATGTGCTCTGGCGTTGCGCCATTCCCCAGGCTCTCTGCCCAGATGTTGGCAATCTCGATCGTCGGGGTCGGGTTCTCCTTACAGAGGACCTCGAGGAGCGGTAGCGTTTTCGGCTCCTTCGTAAGGCTTGGCCAGACTAAGCATTTGGCAAGGTCCATCGGTCAACACGTCACCCCAAGCAAAACGACGGACGTACGGATGTGTGCGCTCGTCATAGCGGAAGGCGGGGCAACGAAGGGGACAGGCTCAGGATGCGCTCGCCTTTGGGTGTCACGTCCCTCCACCGAGGCTCGCCGCTCTGTCTGTCGCTTGGTGGCGAAGTACTGGTTCACGTTCGATGCCTTGTAATCTTCGCATCCTGGAATACACTGGATTCGTTTGGCGAGCTCGTCTCGTTGCTGCCTGTTGGGATAGTCGGTGACATGGTGGAAGAAGTCTAAGATATGGGAGCGAGTCAGCCTCCGTGCTGCCGAGTGTGGGAACAAAGGAAGACTCGGGAAAGGAAGGTACGGTGATGAACGTGTCAAGGAGGTACGGATGTGGCGAGTGTAATAGATGCGCACGATACATACGGCCGAGAATTTCGTAGACTTCCTTTGGACGACGGCGATAACTGCGAGTCTTGCTTTCTGAGTCGCTCCTGATGATACTGATACTGGCGCTCGACGGTGGCGGATACGATGTTGAGGTGGCGAAACTGGGTCCAGCACTCGCGCTAGTACTGCTCGGAGTGAGCGGCGTCCAGCTCGGAACGATGGAAAAGTGATTCATGTATCGGCAAGGAGTTGGGGGTGTAATCTCGGTTATAGGGAGCTCTTGTAGGAGGAAGGGGGAGTCTGGGTGGGGTGGGGGGGTTATATGTAGGGTTGTAATGTTAAGTACTTCATTTCTCTGCAAATTTTCACACAAAAATGGAATCATGCAGAAAGTCAACAAAGCTGACCACTTCCTCCCAAACCCCCTCCCACCTCTCAATGTGATTGCAATGAGGTGTGCAACGAGACGATCGATATTCTCCCGTCCGGAGAGACGGGCTAAACTATACATAGATAAACGGCTGTCGGCATGATCAGCGACCCTTCACATGTGTGGCCGTTCAAATGATCGTGATATTTGGCAATACAGTCATGCTATATTGCAGGTTGACTTAATTGGCTCCCCATACCTACTCAGGCTCCAGCGTCGCCGCATGGCTTGTTGACATGTTGGGGCAACGTTGGCATGCTGACTCGGCTCGTCAGTCAGTAAGAGGTGAAGGTAGGAGCGACTAGTCCACCTCAAAGGATCACCGTTACTCCAAGCAGGTAGCGCAATAATCAACGGAAGACATCGTCGTCTAGCGGCCACTTACGCGGCAATTGCCATCCCTTCCACTCCAAATAGCATTTTGGACAATCTGGAGAAACGGGGAAGTGCGAAAACGTCCAGCGCATGTCTTGACAAGGGGATCGACGGACAGAGCTGGTTTGGACACTTCTTTCTTACGGGCACGCCTGCCGATTGCCGACCATGGGAAAACCATGCGGGGGACAAGGCACCGATTAACGCTACGCTCGAGAAGGCAGGAGTGTCAATGAGGCATAATCGATGAAACTTGGGAACTTGAAGATCTAGAAAAATCGCGTTCGATGTCCGGTCCATCGGCTCAGAAGTCACCAGAGGGGGCTACATTGGTGCCACCTTGTTGGTGTTCTTTGAACCAATGAAACTGCTTGTTAGTTACCTGCAAATGCCCGTAATCATTGTGGGGTCGCAGCTCAATGGACACGACTTCAACGCGTGTAGGGTCACAAGGCGTTAGCAGAAAGCAGCCAGCGGGCAAGACATAATGACTCACTGTGTCCTAGAAGAAGCTGAAGCTCAACACTCAACGATCCACCGGCTCAGCCCCGTGGTAACCACTGGTCCACCTTTCCTCCTGATCTGCCCTTTGTTGGCATGGAAGCCTTCAATGGGCGCGCAATGCACCCCATGGCCATAGAGCGCAGAAAAATGTCGCGCCGAGCGAAACGTAAAGCGGTCCCCCGACCATGCTGACTGATGTGAGGTTCCAAGTAGGAATCACCTGTCTAAGAAGCCTGTCGTTGTATTGCCACGATGTCGTACACAGCCCGCTCTATTGCCTCGCTGTTATCGCGCATACAAAGGGTGGTGGCCCATGCACGGCCTTCGCATGCTCCGCGTGAACTTACAGTGGTCTAACGCCGGGAACCCATATGCACCGCTTCCCATGCCCTTCTCCCTTGCTCTTCCCCCATCGACGTCCTTCTCCCTCGCATATCCAAAGACCCCGTTGAATCCTCTCATCTCGTGCCCAAGCTCTGACTTCCTAATGCGCCCGCTTGGGATTCGCAATAGCCTCAGCCGCTCCTACCTCTCGAGCGTATCGATGGCGATCCCGAAGTTCGTCCAAGAACCAGTAGTGCGCCTCGTGCACCCGACTGCCGAGTGGCACAGCGCAAGCTCTCAAGGCAAGCAATCAACCGCACCGTACACGCTGGGACACGAGGCCTACCGATTTCGCCGCGATCGGCTGCAAGCTCGTGCGGGAGACGGGTCGCGGTGTACGGAAGTCGGGCGGGGGAGCAGCTGTGGCGATCCTTCCCATCGGAGACGATCGCACCAGTCGTTGGCTCTGACATGGCTCACGACAAGAAATCAGACTACCTCGACGGTCGGTCGGAAGACACCGGTCGGCCGGCTGTCGACGCAGCGCAGCGCAGAGTGGAAGCATCCCTCCGCTTTGCTCTGCCGTGGCACGGTACTTAGATAGAATGCATTGTCGGGCGGGGGCTTCTGGCAGCCCCTCAGCCCGCCGGCGCACTCCATCAAAGCTTAGCGTCGTGCGCGTCGTGTGTCGCACACGCAAATTCTTGACGGTGGGGGTTGGAACAAAGCTAGAAGCAGATCGGCACAATGTCAGCGGGCAATTATAGTGAAGGGTACGAGTGAGTGCCTTTTCATCCTTTCGCCCGGGAATCACAGAAATTGATGCGATTTTGTCGGGTCACATCAGTAGGTCTAACGCAAGGCGGGATGCTGATGCCGCCACTGAATGGGGGAAATGATGCGCCCAACGCCACAAACGTACGCGGGGGACCTACGCTTGCAAATGGGACGGAAGAAAGGGCTTGAGAAGCTTTCCTGCGCATCCCTCGAAAGCGAGGGGCGCGCCAGATAGCTATACAAGGGAGGCATAGCGAGTGGGACAGGGAGAAGGAAAACCCAAGGGGGGAAAACAACGGGTCTTCGGGAGCGCCGCACGGCCAAACAAGGGAACTGCCGACACCTACACATGTCTTTGGGCGGGTTCCTTCACCCCGCCTTGGACTGTCAGAACAATAGAAGCATCTGCAAAGCATAAAGGACATCAGATTGCAAAAGACAACGGATAAGGTCAATATATCCATATGCGCCACATGGCCTAACTAATCTCCCTACTAACCACCTCCATCGATGTCAATGCTACCGACCCAAACAGAAGACGGCGCACCTATTTCAAGCAGTGATCAGTCACAAGAAGATCAAGTAGGTGACTCACGACGGCAGGGGAATGTCAATAGTGGTGCCACGACCATCTGTGTCTTCTTGCTGTAGCGACATAGCGTGGATATCATCATGTCTGTCTGGGAACACACTGTTACCTCGAAAACTCAATCATCTGTCGCTTCATTGGGTTGGCGAAGGTCGATAGATAGTGGGAGATCAAGTTGATGTCGACAGTAAAGCGTGCAATAATAAGGAGACAATACTAGAAAGTTCACCTCGCAGAGGACGCGGTAGTCCTCCGGTGTATATACATAAGCAGCCTCAAAGCTCATGCATTGCAGAAAGCCACTCTTGCCGCTTCACGAGCTGCGGAACTGTATCGAATATGTTATCTCCTTCCGGAGTAGCGGCGAATATCGCAGAGCGCTCGTCAGTGAAGGAAACTCCTGTGGCGTCTTCCTGGGTCCCCTAAGTGAACCAGGTTTGCAAGCTGCCGTCGACGGTCGTCTCGACCGGTCTCGTCGTCGTGGCATCATGCGAGGGAGATGACGCGGAGCCAATGAGCGTGCGACGTTCGGACGTACTCAACGCCCAGACAGACGCCTCGGCGGCAATTGCGCTCATCACTGGAATCCCACTCTCCGTCGACGCGCCCGACGACCACTGCCCTCGTCTCCGACCTTGACGGCCACCTCCCACACCGCTGGATCCCAGACAACGCACCACACCAAGTCGATTTGCAGGGACAGTCTCCCGAGGCCGTGCGAATCTACACTCATCTCCATCCGAGGGACACAATAGCCGACGGGTCGAGCGGTGGAGCTCTCTGTTCAGTTCTCTCGTCTGTCGCTTCTCGCTGCTCCGCGCACCCTGTGCGTCAGTCGTCTTCAGACTCCAGCCAGCTTCTGGGCCGCTCCCTGCTCCTCGAACTGAGGTCTCAGCGCAGACTTTGACGACAACGACCATGTCCTCTTCCTCGTTCTCCTCTTCCTCTCCCTCCTCCTCCTCCTCACGCTTTCGCTCCTCCCTTCCCCTCGGACGCGTCCTGCCCACCGCGGTCGTCCTGGCGGAGCTCGCGTCGCTCGCTGCGGCGTACTCGTTCAACATCGTCAGCACCCCGCGCCAGTGCGAGAACCTCACGGTGCAGATCACCGGGGACGGCGGCCAGCCCCCGTACAGCCTGCTCATCATCCCCGTCGGCCCGTCCCCTCTCCCAAACGCGACCGAGGTGCGCAAGATCACGAACGTCGCGTTCGGCTCGGGCTCGTCGGCGTCCGCCGACTTCCAGCTCGCTTTCCCGGAGAACTCGCAGTTTGTCGCTGTTGTGAGTACTGTCTTTCGGTGTGCTTGTCTGTGTGGGGGGTTGGGGATGCGCGGACGAGGTCTGGCTGGCTGGGGTTTGAGGACTATGCTGGAGGCGGGATCGCCGAGTTGTCGGGGTTGTGCAGGTGCGAAGGTATCTCGCATTCACGCTTTGTTCGGGGGCCGAGGTCTACGCGTTCGCTTTCGTAGATTGAGGCAGCTCCTCTCGGGCTCGGTTCTCTGGGTGTCGCATCCAGGCTGCCGCGCCACGGCTGGTCTCCGTACTGTTCCCTTCCGGTGGCAGTCTGCGCAGGAGGCATGTGAGCGCGATCAGCCTGGGTACGGCGCGCCGCTTGTGACCCCCCTGCGTGCATCGAGCCCCCTTGAGCTTCCCGCAAGTGCCCCCTCGTCGTGTCCGCGCGCCGCGAACGTCGTGGCCATGCTGTACAGACAACAGCCAACACCCCGGTTTCGTCCGAAGGCTCATCTTGCGCGGTGTCCAGTGACTGCGCATGTCGGGACGAGCCTCCTGCAGGGTACGTGATCCCGCCTGAGCAGTCCGCATGCGGCACACGACGACGCCCACCGAAGCCGAGCTATATTTGTGCTTCTCTTCCGGGTGCACTCGATCGCGACTAGAAGACGACGACGGCGTCGCGCCGTGTCCGCGCTTGTTTTGGCACCCTTGCTATGGCGCTCGCTGCTTCCCATCTAACTCAGGACAACGACGTTCGACAGGCGCTGCCAGCGCCGCTCTTTGAACATCACACTGACACAACATTGCATGTGCAGGTCAGCGACAACGCAGGATTCGGAACTGGCGGAACTAGCGCAGCCGTCACCGTCTTGTCGGGCAATGACGGTTGTTTCAACCCCACACAACAAGTCTCCCCGCAGTGGTTCCTGCACACAACGCCCGACGGTATACTCAACAGCTGTGTACAAACGCGCATATGGTGGAACCCGGGTGACCCTCAGGGGTGCGGCGATTATTCCTAGTCAGATCCGGGTTGGTATAGTACTGACGCTACGCCGCCGCGTCGACAGCACGCCAAATTTCCAGGGTGTCATTCCTGGAGGCGATTCATTTTCGATACCTGTCGGCCCCACATCAACAGAAATCGGATCCGGCGTCGGTTTCAACTGGACAGCGGACGTGCGGGAAGGCACGACGCTCTTGTTAGTCGGCGGCGATGACCGCGGGCTGGGGGTCGCGGGCAGCAACGTCTTCACCGTCCAGCGGGGCAGCTCGTCGTGCCTGAACGACACCTCCCCCTCCTCGACACCCGGGTCTCCTGCGGGCGGTAGCTATCCGACGAGCACGGACGGCTCGGGGACACGGAGCGGTAGCGGGAGCTCCGGGTAGGCCTCGTCTCTCCACTCCAACGCGCGCCTACACTTACGTGTTCCCATGTCATTCAGCTCTTCAACAAACGTCGGCGCGATCGTCGGCGGTGTCGTCGGTGGCGTCGTCGGTGCGCTCGCGCTCGCGCTCCTCCTCGTCTTCGTCATCCGCCGGCGGCGCTTCCACCAGAGCGGCGGCACGAAAGAGCGCCCGGTGGACCTCCTGCAGGACAACGACCACGACGGCCCGGACGCGGGCGACGGCCGGCTGCCCGAGTACTACCAGCCGGAGCCGTTCGTGCTCCCGGACCCAACCGTCGCGTCGTCGCAACACGACCTCGTCTCCGGGGCCGGGGCCGGCACGCGGCCGGGCACAGGCACGGGCTACAGGGACGGGGACGGGGCGAGGCGGGAGTCGTTCCTGTCGACGAGCACGTCGGACAACGCGGGGCTGCGGGCGGGCGGGCGCTCGAGCGCGCCGTCGACGAGCGCGCGCAAGAGCCCGGTGCCGCCGAGCTTCAGGCCGGTGAACATCATCCAGCACGACGATGCGGGCCCGCCGGAGGAGGCGGAGGAGGAGCAGGAGCCGGAGACGATCGAGCTGCCGCCGGCGTACACGAACATCAAGCCGAGAGAGGTGCCCAAGGGCGGGGATGCGGCGGAGGGCTCGGGCTCGGATGCGGGCGCGAGCGCGGCGGTGCAGGCGGCGGCTTGAGCTGGGGTGTTGGTGTATGTGAGTGTTGGTTTTGGTATTTGGGTGGTTGGGGTAAGTCCTGACGTTGGCACGCTTCTGAAGTAGAGTGTCTGTGTCAGCGGGACGTTGCTCGGATTGGCTCGCCCAAGCAGCTCTTCTTCCCTCTCACTAACCTTGGCTAGGAACGGCCTTCTGGACCGTCAGCTATATCTCAACCCCGCCCCCCTGTTCTCTCTCCCTCTACGCAAGGTAAACGCTTATCTCACGATCTGCCCATGTGTATGTCCCCTGTCTTCCTGTCTCCTTCGTTTTCACCCTCCTTTCAACGTCGTGTTCTCCGCGTTCCCTTACCCTTCCCTTTCCCTTTCCCTTGCCCTTCACCTTATCCCCTCATTGATTGTCAACTTCTCTATTGGCTGTCGCTCAACATCTACACCTGGACATTTCTCGCATCAAGGCCCCTTGACCGCACACATGCCAGTCTCGCGGAAGGATATATCTTAAGGTCTTGGTCAACCGGTTGTCTCGTCATAACGTGATACCTTGCATTCCCCGCGACCTTGCACCCGCATTTTGCCCCTGCGTACCTCCCCACCCGTATATTGTCTTATGTTTTCGGGCCGCGCATGACTCATTCGAGTCAAGTATCTTATGTACCTATCTAATACCCTCTTGAAAGTTGACCTGTTCGTCGCTTTGGAATGTGTAACTGGTACATTCTCACACGTCTGAATGCGCTCTACCGTGCTTTGCCACTAGCTGGAGTATTTTGCTGTGAGCGGGTTGCTCTGCTAGGCTGAGCGTGGTCGGCGTCGTGCTGGTTGCGCACAGATTCGAGACGGTCTGGGTATATGCGCGTCTGAGAATACGCTGGAGGGATCATGCGCATGAGGTGTATAGCGAAGCTGCTGTAGAGGGTGGGCAGAGCAAGCCCGGGGGCGGGGAACAACTAGCTGGGAACGTAGGCAGCAGAATGACCAAGTCCATCGACGTCGTCTGAGAGCGTCGGTGTGTGGAGCGTCGTGTCGTATAGTGTATGTGACGTGACGGTCGTGCAATGGGGTGGGCGGGTGCATTCGGTACGCGCGTGAAGGCAGCGGACAACGTCCGCGTCCGACGTCCCCAAAGGCGAGGCGTTACCTCCGCTTGAACACCAGCGGCGCGCGCTGCGGGCTGACGGGCGAAACGAGCGGTATGAGCAACGTCCGCCCTAGAAGCTTCAGCGAGACGGAGGGGGGCACATACTACAGCGTCACGCTCAGCTTGCTCTTGAGCAGCCGCGCCTTCGTCTGCGCGAACGTCTCCCCTGCGAACTGGGGCTCGGGGCGGACCTCGACGCGGTAGCGCGCGATGAGCAGCGTGAGCACGGCGATGGACTCTGTCTCGGAGAACCCGCGGCCGATGCAGCCGCGCGGGCCGCCGGAAAAGGGGAGGAAGCAGTCGCGCGGGTAGTCCTTGAGGAAGCGCGCGGGCTTGAAGGCGTCGGGGTCTTCCCAGTACTTCGCTGTTTGGGGAGGGAAAGGGGGGTTAGGCAGGGTTCGCGCTATGTAGTGTAGTGGTGGAGGCTGGGCGGTGGACACGAACGTAGGGAAGAAGAGGGAGGTGGACGGCGGGAGGAAGGGAATGTGGACAGACGAGAATGTGGACCGCGGGGCACTGTCGATCGAAGAATGCGCGGACGAACTCACGGTTGTTGTGGAGCCCGGGGGTGTGCACGGTCACGTATGTCCCTTTGGGGACGGGGATGGTGCGCTTCTCGCCGGCTGCGTTGGTCGTGGTGAACGAGGTGTCCTCGGCGCTCTGTTTCGGGATGGTGATCACGGGAGGGAATAGCCGGAGGGTCTCGTTGAATACGCTGTCGGAGCCAAGTAAGATAAGTCAAGGACGTGTCGTTCCAAAATGTGGAGTATGAAGGGAGGTGGATGTGGGCATAAGTTGCAGAGAAGGGAGGACAGACGTACGCCATCGAATATGAGAGCGTGGAGAACTCTTCGTAGGTCGGAGTGTGGCCGTCGCTGAGGACCTGCTTGATGCTTTGGTAGAACTTCTCCTGTTCCTCCTGATACAAGGCCAGGAGGATGAAGCAGTACGCGAGCGTATGTGCGCTTGTCTACCCGTGTTGTGAGTCGGGCGACCGGTGTGGTGCGCGTGCCTTTGGGCCGCCTTACTCACCTCGTAGCCAGCCACCATGAATATGAACACGTTACCCAGCAGCCCGTCATCGGTCAGCTTCTCCCCGCTCTCTGCCAACCCCTCGTTGGCGTCGAGTAGACTGCTGAAGAGGTCATGCCGCTCCTCCTTGACCTCCGCCGTCCGACGGGCGACGATCATCTCCTGCATATAAAACTACGGACGTGCACAACGTCAGAGTGTCCCGAGACCTGAGCAAGGCCGATCAAGCAGAAGGCTCACCTGCAGTTCATTGGAAGCCGTGTAGAAGTTCCTCATGACGGGCAAGCCCCAGCGAAGGAGCCACCTTGGGAACATGAGCTGCAGGAAGAGGTTCCGGGAGACGATGTGGAGTGCTTGCTGCACCCGATGCTCTCATGTCAGTGAACGCGCCACACAATTCTCACTACGAGAAGTATAGGCAGACCTTGAACGTCATCTGGTGTCCGTCGGGGGCAACCGCTTCGTCCTTCCATGAGATCCGCCGCCCGAAACCTGCAACGCCAATCACGAGAAGCGTGATCTGCCAGATGCGATATACAGAACGACAGCGACGTGCAGTCAGTCAGCGGGAGTGGACACAGGGCCAGTCGCACATGCGGGGAAGAACGTACCGGAACAGTCAGGTCGGTGATGTTGTCGATCTCGACCGTGTCCTTGGAGCCCCAGACGTTGTCGAACAGGTCCTCCATGATCCGCACGGTCTCGTCCCACACGAGCTTGTTGTTCTTCTGCAGGCGCGAGCCCCGATATCCCCGTGAGCATCTCGATGGGGGACGATGCCGCGACTCCGCGCGAGCGGCGGCGTCGGGCCATACCCGCGAGCGCGAAGGGACGCCAGAAGGCCACACACCTCTGAGAACGCCGGCGCGACGAGCTTGCGTTGCCGCTTCCATTCCTCGCCCTCCGAAGCGACCAGATTGGGCCCGAAGGCGAGCAGGATCTTGTATGGCCCCATGGGCTTCGGGAAGCGTGCGCGCGCGCCAATGACGTCCTACAGATGGCGCCGCGGGGAGCGGGGGAGGCAGACGCAACGTCAATCGGCTTGGCAGGGATCAGGCGTGCCGGGGTGACGCACCTTGACGACGACAGGGTCGGCGAGGAAGACCGTGACTTCCGCGGAAGGCAGCACGCTCACCTTCCGCAGGCGCGAGGTCGCGAGGTTGAGATACGGGGTCGACGGCGACGACGCGAGCAGACGGACGGACGCACCCCTGCCATGATGTCCCACCCCGCCTCCTCGAAGTCCTTGTATTTGCGGTAGAGATTGACCTCCGATTGCAGTCCGGGCGAGATGCCGTCGACGCGGAACGGGAACCAGACGAAGCGGTCGCTGAAGAGCGTGCGGAACCCGGGAAGGTTGCTGTGCGGCGCGTACGACGGCAGCGATGTCAGCGGACATCACAGATGAGCAGCCGTTGAGAGGGCATACTCACTTAACAGATGCGGCGGCGCGCCGCCAGTCGATGAATTTGCGGAGGACAACCACTGCGAGCAGTAGCAGTCCCAACCGCACCATGCCCTGCACGTCCTCTAACATCTTACTGTTTTTGTCGCGTCCTGCCGCGTTGCGCCCGCACCGACCGTGATCCTAGGTCTGATCGCGTTCAGGAGGAAGAGCAGAATGCGCTGGTCGATAGCGCGTCGAGGGATGGGAGAAGCAAATGGTGTGAATGCGCGCGGGGCCCCGGAGTTTAATATAACGCCGCATGCTGCGTGGCACAGCTACAGGATGGGGTCCCTGATCCTACACAGATCCATCATCGGGGGCAAGAAGTGGTGCTGGGCAGACTTGCCAGCAATGGTACATGAGACATTCTCCTTTGGGGATGGGAATTGGACCGGGGGAACTCGAGCCTCGCGCTGCGGCGAGTGTGTATCGATCAGCGCTCCGCCCACCCCGGCGTCTTCCGCGCGGGGCCTGGCGAGGCCCAGGAAGCTTTGGAATTCCAGGAATTCTACATATCTTCGTGCACACGGGGACACGGGGAGCGTGGGGGGCTGCGCTGTGGGTAGCACGCCGTGGCGACTTGACGGTCGGTGACCTCGCTTGCCTTCGCTTGTGCTTGATCGAGGCCCTCCGGCTGGCGAGTTTGCTTGAGCGATGTTCAGCAAGTTCACCTACGCGAGCGCTGCAGCTGATAGCGTAAGTCATTCGTCGTGATCTGCCGCAGACTGAACAGTAGGAGGCTTCTCATCTGCTTCCATGCTCGGGGCGACGTCTTCACGTCATTGCGATACATATGCCAGCAGCGATTATCGGAGCAGCACAGAATCAGTTCGGAACCATAGCAGACGGCTTCACAGATTGTGTGCAGATCGGGTTAGGGGGCCGAAGTAAAATCCGGCGATTTGCAGAGACGTTCACGCGGTTGTAGGGGTGCAGTTGAGGGAACGTCCGGTCGGCGGGTGCGTCGCGTATCGTCGACCGTAATGCGTTCATAGAGATATCGGTGGTGTTGCGTGAATTCCGGGCGTCGGAATTGTACACGAGCGCGATCCTGATAACGGCCGTGGTCTCACGAGGCTAATAGACGCGAATGTCGCTCGGTCGCACAGCTTGGAACTTGAAGGGCGAAGATCACGTACTGGAAATCCGGGGGGCCGCAATTTTTGCAAGGAGTGATCAGCTGCAATAGCACGTCGACGAGGTTTGGGGGCAACCTCCGCTGACGGTTGGGTGGAAGGGCATTAATGTATGACGTAGCCTGCGTCCTACCCCCGAGCTGCGTATTGACACTCACAGATTCGTGGATTGGAAGATTAGACTGAATGCTTGTGCCTTGCGCGAAGTCGGAATAATTCTATCTTCTGGTAGGCGAACAGGGTCGCGATATATTTGACGTTCGAACCTAAACGACGCGAGGTGATGGAGAAATCCTTCCCAGTGAGGCAGCCTGGGAACTTATAATTTGGTAGGCGCGAACGCGTGAGATCCCGACCAGCCTGCGATGCTCGACCAGCCTGAGGCGCAGAGAGGAAGAGCAGGACGGTGGTCATTTCATGGATGCTGGAATGCGGGTTGTCGCCTGCTGTGAGATGAATTATCTGGTGGCTAGCGACATCAATGGAGTCAGAGTTCGCGATCACTTGTGTCTGCGGTGCGTAGCGGGACCAGTACGCAGGGAAGCAACCGTATCTGAACATCCGCGGCGATCCATACTTGAAGAAGCACGCAAGGTCTTGCCCCTGCGCTAACCTTGAGGGATTTAGGGGCGATAGTGCGCGGGATCACCCAGCCTCTCATGAGTCATCAGACGACTCGCAGAGCTGATTGCGCCCACACTGTGAAGTGATTGGGAAGAGCCGCGCTGCATGATGGTCGACGGGGGAGTGCGCGAGTGGTAATGAGTATAGAGAAGTTGACGACCTACATTTCATGTCCGGTCTTCCTCCAACAAATCGATCCAGGATATCGACGGTGAGGCAGCAAGGCTTTTCCCCAGGTTCACGCTTCGCGCGCTGGCTCCGGAGTCGAGAAGAAGACGTCTTCCCACCCTTGCTTCGCATTCCTGATAGACTACACGTGTCCTGTCAACGGCCAAGAGAAACATTGAACCACGTCAAAGAACCGAGGACGGCCGCCACATCGAACGCGCAACGGATTGCAAGAATGGAAGAGCCCTCCAGGATGCTCGACACGTGGCGTGCGTGTTCTGGCGTACACTTCGACGGCTGGACATTGATTCTCGAGGAACGGGAAGGGCGACGAACGTTCGTGCACCGAGGCCCGGGGACAAGATGTTGGAACGCGTACGGCAAGGCAAGCGTGGTGCGAGAGCCCCGGCCGTGTCTCAGGCGAACAGTCTTGTCGCGCCGGTGATGCGCCTTGTCGCGGCTTGTCGCGCCTAGGCGGATTCATCCCACTTTGTTCTCGAATGCTACGTCTCATTTGTCTTGTAGCGTACATGTCTTGTTCTAGTATGGTATTAAGTACCCCCGATTTCAGTCAGCTCACCTCAGTCCCGCGTACACGCGTACTGAGGTGAGTATACGATTATTACTTACTTCGATTGCTTATGCTTACTATCACTCTATAGTGCTTTACTACAGGTATTATAAATATATATTAGTCCCGCGTACACGCGTACTGAGTGCTTTACTACAGGTTATGAGCCCTGCCTTCTAAGGCAGACTTCAGGCACTAGAAACTTACCCCTTTAGGCAACCCCTCCTCCCCGAAATGGCGTCCATCAAGCTTACTAACGATGTTGTCCGAGTTCCTAAACTCGACGTCAGCAGCACCAACTGGGTGTTGTACAAGGAGCGCCTTACCTGGGCAGCCGACGCGAAAGGACTCGCTGGACATCTCGACGGTGCGGTCCAGGAACCAAACGCACCGCCGTCGCCAGCTACACCTGCATCAGTTGCGCAAACCGCACCTGCGACAGGTGCGACGACCGCCGCGGCAGGCGCGACAACCACCTCCGCTACGATGCTGGATCCTGCGCAGGTGGCGTACGAGGCAGAGCTCGCTACGTGGAAGAAGGGCGAGGCCATCGTCAAGCAGCTCATCGCGAGCACGATCCCGGACTCGCTCTTCATGAAAGTCCGATCGATGTTACGACTGACTGTCGAGCGAGTAAGTGGAGACGAGCGAGGCAGGCAGGAGCGCCGACGAGCTCTGATCGCAGTGAGACTGGAGCGGAGCTCAACAGGCAGGACTGGAGACAAGTTGTGTATTGAGCGAGGTATCTACAGAGCGAAATACACGATGGCTTACTTGGAGACAAGAGGTCAAAACTAGAGTCTCCAGGTAGCAAGGGATCCAGCTATATACAGGGAACGAACAATGGGCGCTAGAGAACAATAGCGTCGCCATGGGTACGGAGTACAAGGGGTGTAGGACAATAGCGGACGTGGGAACAAAGGGAGCTATTGTCCGTGTGTGGACAAAGGGAACCGTAGCGAGTAGTAGAACAA